TAAGTTTCATTAACTGTTTGTCCGATGCATGGTCACAGTGACCCAGAGCCACGATGCAGCATACACCCCGGGCAGGACACCAGTCTATCATGGGGCACACACACTCACCCCAGGAACAGGCTTCCCAGACTCCAGTGAACCTGTCACTGTGTCTCTGAACTGTGGGAGGAAACCAGAACACCTCCAACCATTCTCCAACAGTGCATCTTACAAAGGGTGAGTGGTGATTATGTCATATTTAAAAAATGCTACAGAAAGAGGAAACCCATGTGAACTAGGGAAGAACATACAGACTCCACACAGACAGCACCCCAGGGCCAGAATCGAAGCCAGGGCCCCAGCGCTGCAAGGCAGCTATGCTGACCACTTCTCCACCCTGCTGCCCTTGCCGAAGCTACGACACACATCCTGTACACTGGGCGTGCTGGCGTCATGTGGTCGTGCTGCTATAAAGAAACCCCTTCAGCTGTAAAAACAGGCTGCTTGGTGCACCTGTCGCTGCGCTGTTCCAGCGACTGCCAGGGGTGTGAACAGTATTGGGCACTGAGAAGACGCAAGTACTGTCATACCTGTGTGTGAAATAAAGAGCTCAGCTGGACAGCACACATCACATCCGCTCTGCTCTCGAGACCCACCGGTGTCTCCAAGCCAGGACAAACCTGTCTTCTCTACATTTACACTTTGAGCAGAAATATATTTTTTACACTTAAACCTCCATAATAATAATAAAATAATGATAATAATAATACAGATCAACCAAAACTTAATGTTTGTCAAAATTATTTTTACTGGCTGGGGGGGAGGACTGTTTTAGTACATAAGCATTTTCTATGTGCTATATTAAAATAAAAACACCCGATCACCAAAAATAAGATGAAGTGATGTTCCCGTAGTCTAGATTTTGTACATTTTACAAAGCCCATTACATAGTTACTGTAACAGCTTCCTTTTAAATTCAATGCTTTTTGTGACTGTCAAACACTTGAAAGGCACAGAACAAAGAAAACTAGGGCAGAAGTGTTATACAGTACCACCCAACTAGTCGGGGATTCTTTAAATCATGGGGCTGACTCTGATAAGGGCACACACAGGCAGGTATACAGTACAGTAGGTTTCAAGGAGCCTGTATTCTTAAGTAAGAGACATCAGTTAAAATTCTGTAGTAATAATATCAGGGCCCCGTTAATCATCAACAATCCCGATTTTCAGAGTTCATCTGCTCACTCAGGCTGTGCCTTTTTGCAAGTACAGCTGCCGTTCTTTCAGCGCCTACAGTAGTTCTTTGCATAAGATATATATATATTTTATCTGATTCAAGCTATCATCTGAACAGCACTGTGTTTAGTCAAGACTCCTTCAGAAATAATTGACTCTGCCGTGGCAGTTGCCGTGCTCTGATGGCAAACTTGAAGCAGAAACACGGATACAAAACAAGACAGATTCCACAAGCGCCTTCCAGAGCATCATCATCATCTTGCGCTGTGACACGGGTAGCTACACACAAAAAAACCTCGAGCAGCATCGCCCGAGAAAAACAGAAAAAAAGTCTTGGATCAACACAAGCTAAAACTAATAGACCACACAGCCTCGTTTTTCTTTGGAAAGGCAGGATGGCGGGTGTCGTCCCCTCATCCCAAGCCGCGATCAACACGAAAAGTAGCGAGGGCGAAACCAACTTTCCCGAGTTGCGAGGAGCTGTCCCGTTTACCGAAAAGCCCGTTTCCAAAGTTCAAAAAATACCCCTTCCCAGATTTCGGAGCAATATCAAAGGCGTGCGCCTGTCTGGAATAGCATTCTCTATTAGGGCACAATAATAACTTGAGGCCGGCTACAGATATCATTGTGCGCTTGGCGCAGTGCCAGCGCCACATGAAAGCAGCAGATGTTTCGTTTTGAAGCTAGGTTTTAATAAATTATTTATTTCGCGAGTAATCCTTGGGTGAATACGGAGAATACTTTTATTTTTTTAGAACCACATAAATATCTGTTTAACTCCACACAATAACGCCCCCTCCCCGACCCCAGCAGTTCCTGATTTGATATTAAAACACAAAAACTACACAGGAGGGGCAGCACTGGCTCGGTCTGACATTTGACACCGCGCAACACTGCTGTGAGCCTGTCTGCCGGACTGGGGCAGTTTTATAACCACGGCCAGAGGGCAGACCGGCCTCTTACAGCCCTGAGAAACTCTCTGCGCACCGCCTCTCCGTGAAGACCCCGATGAGACCCCCATGTTCCCGTTACAGTATCACCGGCTCTTCCGGCTTCGGCTGGTAACACAGAAGCACTTCATCGCCCTCAAGGTCAGGCCTTCTTTAACCCCCACTCTCCAGGACATTCCCACGCCATCCCGACTCTCCCTGCCCCGTCCTCTCCCGGTCCCTCCGCGCTGACTGGGAGGAATGGAGTCCGGTTATTCCCCGGCGTCCTCACCTGAGAAACCGCCTCACGCACGAAGCGCCTGAATGGCAGTCGTGCCCGTAACTCTGTGCGCACGGCGTCCTACATCAGCTACCAAGCCAAGTGTTTTACGGACAAGACGAGGACGGCCTTGTGTTATCAGAGCGACGAGCAATCTGGTTAGTTTCCAGGCTCTTCTTGAAACACAGCGATGGGACTTTTTCCGAAGTCCTGATAACTCTACTTCTCACCGAAATCTTTTTGCTTTTCACTTTGTTTCAAACCTCTTGCTTGTGCACTGATACCGTACACCGGTAGATTCGAACCCACAATGAAACAAGAAGCCCTCCTAATTGCATTTATAACACACGTTCGAAGCTGAACAACGTTTTAAACTAAACTAGTGTGTTTTGATTAAAACCCTTGGGAGAAAACCACATTCTTCGTGACACAGATCTGCTTTCTCACAGCTTGTGGGTCCGGGATTCAGTTCTGCACGGCAGTGCTTTCTGTGCGGAGTTTGCATGTTCTCTCTGTGGTTACAGGGGTTCGCTCTGGGGTGACCTGGTGTCCCAGCTAGGCAGTAGGTCTTCTTTGCACCCTGTGCTTCTGGGATGCCAGGAGCCTCATCCTGAATAAGGATCCTTCTGATAATCCGGATAATAAAATACCAACAGTGTTGGAGCTGCTCCTCTTAAACAGGAAGAGGTGGCTGCCTGCGCCGGTGGTCTTTACTGCAAGGAGTGCAGAGCTGCACAGTTTCCTGAACTCAGGGGTGGCAGGTGAATGAGGTGAGACTCATGGTACGGAGCAACATACTCATGTTGTTATGCGCACTGCCAGACTGTATTTACACTCGGCGTTCACAGTTTCCATCTGCCAGGCAGGTATAAAGCATTTTGCAATAGAACGTAAACAAGAACCAGCTCAACTGTACTTCTCACAAGCTGGCTTTACAATACAACAGCAACTGAAGACAAAAATCCCACTTCCTCTCTTGCTCAACAAAATTATGTGCGCCATCTTCAGCCAACATAAAGACATCAGCACACTGCGTTTTAGCCCAAAGTGGTTCAAGTACAGTTTCTTTTTAAAAGTGATTAAAGAGTCAACAGATGTCTTCATCATCTGGGCCAGACAGAAGAATTCTGCACTCTCCGGGGAGACAAGAGGATGCCGACAAGGTCTTCTCAAAGACAATGTGCTGTCGTGCCACCTGCCTCTTTCGGACCGGAAACAGCAGAGCTTCCATGCCAACTGGACATCTCTGCACATGCCCAGTGAACCACAGGAGCTGCTGCTGAGAGGTCAGAGGAGGATGCACCTGCCAGCTGCCCTCCTCCGACACTCCCGACAGATGTTTCTGCTGTCCCAGCCAGCAGGGAGCCCGATTTAACTGTCTCCAGTCAGCAGTGACGAGCAGTCTTTCCCTCAACCCTGCTAGTACCCCTTTCCCTTGAAGCTGCCATAATCCTTCCACACCTGAGGCAGCTCTTTTCAAAGATATTCGCAGCCTGGATCATTCGACCAATATGCAAGAACGCGTTTGCTAATGTGCCTGGCATGACCTACAGTCAATGGACTAGACCGTGGGGGGAATTTGATCGTGAGCAGGAGCCCGTCTGGTGTGTTTATTTGTGAAAGGGTTCATCAAAGAACATCAGTCAGAACACAAGAACAGGTGAGATTTCCTGCATTTCTTGGCCAGCCTACTAAGACTTGGCAAACCAAGACTCGTAGTTACATGTCCTGTTTCACTGCTGGAAGATTCCCAGAGGACAGTAACACCAGACGAATGGGGAAGGAAAGTTCATTATATGAAGGGCAGCTCTTTTAACACCGCAACCTGCTTTGGTGTCTGTGAGGCAGCCAACTTCGTACGGAATAAAAAAAAAGAAAGCAACATTTGGTCCAAAAAACATCTCAGCCAACCCTGAAAGGCCCTTCACTGGTCATGGGAAATCTGTGGCCCGAGATGCCTGTGACCGTCTACAGGAGGACCTGACTTTGATGGGCTTGCAGGTTTGTACTTGATGAACCACACAAATACAGTATAAATGATGCAATTTTCATAACTAAGCAAGCATCCCTACTGCAGTGTCTCCTGGGAGGCCTGGATGGAAGGATGACGTACAGTATGTTCTAGCCGTTTACCATCTGTTGATGAAAACCACCGTTGAAGGTCTTGCTGTCGGTCTGGATGTCAGAAAGCAAGAGGGGGGCAGGTTGCTAGCGGTGCAGATCACAGGACACCCCGTCACGAATGGGGCAGACTGTTACACTTCAACTGTCCCAAATCTGCATTCACATGCTGCTCAGCTGTGCTGGCAATTACAAAAATATGTCCAAGCCTAATAAGGAAACAACGTTGTTTCAGCAGATCAGCTCAGAACCTACAAGAGGTCCCTAAGACTGCAGGTCTACTGGAGTCTAGAAACACATTGAGGGTGTCAGAACCGCTGCAGGTGATCTGCAACCCAACATCTAACGTGACTGCGAGGGGACACCCAGAAGGATTGAAGCCACAACACTGACTGTTACACACAGTACTGAACACACAGAATGAGCTACATTACAGGATGATGCCAGCCACTTACCACCATAATGTGTATCCAGTCAAAATGCCAGGAAGCCAACATATCCTCAAGGATATGACTTGAGGGCAGGTGGGCATCAGCTGAGGGGAGAGAACCAGGGACCTTGCAGATCAGAATAAATTGAGAGTTTACCATGGAGACACAGGAACAGTTGAAGACAATTGCTGCATGTTCGGGGATTGCAAAGACAAATCCACCTGATCTTCACAAAGCCCACAGTGCAGCACGTTTTTTTTTTTCCAGTCTGATGTCGACTTTGTTTTGTTGTTTTGTTCCCCACATTAGCCAGATGATTCAAATGCAGTTCTACCAGAAACTTGGAAAAAAAAAGTCAAAGCATTTTTACAGCATCAAGCTTTTCATCCTTCATAGGAAAGAAGAAGAAAAGAACTTGAATCCAGCACAAACTTTTTTTCTCTTCCTTAGCACTCAGAAATCTCGTTACCTGAGGACATGCGTGAAAAATCACAAGCTCAATAGCCCGAAAACAAGTTTTCAGTCACACTTTTTAACGTATTAAAATAATCCCAGCGCACTCTTTAAGTCCGATTGCATACTACAACAGTGCTATCGGAGGGATCGGGGGAAATCTGTCAGTCTTGCAAGTTTATTTTTCCATGTGTTATCTGGAGATAAGCAGCGCTGTAATTTGAGATTTCTCCTGACATAATTGTGCGTGAATTCTGATCTGATTTCGGCATTACACAGAGCAAAAGGGTGACGCATTTTCTCTAATGTTCCCCATAGAAGAAAGGAAGCAGGGCTGGCCATGAAATCTGAAGCGTCTGATTAAGGAAGAGTAGCCCAGGGGTCATTCTGATGGAATCGTCACAAGTCCTACCTGGGGCGCTGAGCCTGCGATACTGGCACAGTTAATACCCAGTGTGCTACCTGCTTGACAATCAATAAACACCACACACTATCAGACAGTTACAGCTGTTTTGTTAGTTTATTAGATTACCGCTACTGTCTCCCAACGCTAATGGAAACAAGATTATCTCTTTTTTTTCTCTCTCTTAGATACAATCTCTTTTTTCTCTCTCTCTCTCTAGCCCAAAAACCCAACTACAACAAACAGCTTTGAAATCCGTCTGCGCATTGTTGAGAAGAATAGAACAGTGTGTCTTCAAGACAAGGCAGGGACCTTTTTGACAACAAAAAAACAGACAAAAAATAGCATAATCGGTGGTTATGCAAAACAATACGTTTGGATAACGTTTAGTTTCTTTGTACGAGAATTGTATTCAGCTTACAATGCAATAATTGGAATTCAATATCAGCATAAAAGGCCTTTTCCCCAGTGGAAATCTGGTACTCTTACATTTTAAAACACTACAGCTCAGACAATCAGGTGTTACCCAAAAGCAAATATAGAATTAAAGCAACTGCACATGAACAAAATATTCCTAAAAATTGCGTGTACATTAACTAAAATAGTTCCACACTTCTGAGGCTTATTTACAGTAACTGTCTTGCTCATGTATGGCGGCTAAATAATCTGTGCGGATCTGATCCCCTTTTTTCCCAGCTCACTTTAGACCTGGTGACCCGTCATCCTGTTGTAGGACTGATTTCTACTAATAGGCTGGCAGCTTATTTACTTTTACATAGAAAGACACACACAGGGGTCTAGGCAGCAGTGTGCCTGCTGTCTGGCCTACTGTAGGTAACTGGAATCTGGTTAAAACCAAAGTAGTGTTGGGGAAATCATCTGTGAAGGAAACCACTAGAAAGAATCATAATTGCAAAACAAATGTTTCAAAGAGGGCAGGATGCAGCATGCAGCTGTCTCACAGCTCCTAGGGTCAATTCTGGCTTAGGATGCCTGTTTGTGTGGAGTTTGCATGCACCTCTGCTTTCCTCCTGCCTCCTTTCCTCCTCTAAGATTAAATCTGATTGGCTGATCTTTTTTTTGGCAGGCGGGGTTTGTCCCCTGTGTGACAAAAACAAACACAATGTTCTGAGAACAAAAGGAATCTACAACAAACACAACAGAAGCGACTGGAAGCCCAGTGAACAGGTGTACAATGGGGCAATTCTAGGCACATGGAAATGTATTCACAGTAACAGAAGAAAGGCTGAAAAAAAAGGCTGAAAAGCGAAGCAAAGCTCTGTAACTGCAAGGAGAGCCGGCTGGCAAGAAATACACTTAAAGGCTGAGAGTTGAGATAATAAACCTCAGTTGTAAAATATTACTGTTCTTTTTAGTGTTAATCATAACAAGAACAAGTTGTATAACACTGGGCGGCAGTTTGATAAGAAAATATTTCTGTGATCAAACAACCCTTCACAGATAAATGCCACTGGGGTCAACACAGCCCTTAAGGAATCACAGCTGACTGTATTTCCATCACGAGCTTCAGCTCTGCCCCCAGCCCGACAGCTGTTAACCTTACATGGATTCGAGGCCAGAGGTGGATACTGTACATCAATAAACCCCTGACTTCAAATATGCAGAAGATTTGCAATGGCACAAGTAAAACTCAGAGGAGCTCTTGAACACTCTCCTCTCAGCAAGACAACACAGAGGGATCTGGACGTTCAGCATTCGAAATCAAGATGCGCTAGAGGGGCCAAATGGCCTCCTCTCCCTTCAAACAGGTTTAAGTAATTAAATGAAATCGATTAAAAATGAGTAAAATTAATGCTGAGATTGTCACCAATTCAATAACATCAATCTTCAAAAAGCCTATGGATTCCCGGTTGACTGTACATCATTATTTTGAGCCCATGTTTATTTCCAGGGAGTTCAAAATCACAGCTGGATGAGATCTTTAGATCGGTTACTGGCAATCAGACAAGCTAGATGGGCCAAAAGCCCCCTCTCATTTCGAGCCTCAGTGAAGCTCTTCCTGAGCCTGACTGCCTTCATCAGACGCGTGCGTGTTAACCCATGGCTGCTGGATAAAAACGCACACACATGTAAAACAGAAAGGATGCCTCTCAGTCGCTCTTAAACTGATCAAAATAAATAACATATACGGATAACTTTCTCCCATTTAATTAAATAACAATATTTCTACATTTTGTAGTAGGCGTTAGTAGAACAGCATATGATTCCCTTATACACACACTTCTGCTGAGCTAACAAAGAGGAACTAAGCACCAAAAGCCCAGCGTTTTCATTACATGCAACATATCACAACTACTTTCCCCCGGCTACAGACTCTTTCTCCAGTCGCCACTGGAGCGTGCCAGCATCTCCCGGTGGCTTCGAGAACTGCACTGGAAACAGAAGTATCTTCTCCCAGCCAGCCTGAGTCCCCAGAGGGAGAGGAATTCACTCCACAGGCTGCGGCCCGAGGGGGCTCATTGCTCGCTCCATGATGACCGAGCCCGGTCTAACTGCACGCTCTCAGCTGCTGTCCAAACACGGCAGCAGCCCCATATTTCCGACAGGTCTGGGAAGACTGACACAAGTCCTACCCGAAACAAAATCGAATTCAGCTTGAAATGCTGCGACCTGGCAGGAAACATTGCGTGGCACATTAACAGTCTACATTGTTCCCAAAACTAACCTCAAGAGTACAGTTTCAATCTGAGACTCCCTCCCCTTTCTGGGCCCAGTTCTAAACTAGGTCCAGTAGATCTTCGGGTTTAAGGAAATTTTCAAATTACAACAAACACTCTCTGGCTTGCCAGCATATCACCAGACTGATAAAGGAATACACTACCCACACTGGGGATGTACAGTATATTGCTTCACTCATTGCCTTTGTATGCTCAGAGATAAACATGGTAGACACTAGTGGCCCAGGGGACTCGTAAGTGTATTAATAACACAATCATCAGGATTTTGTTCACACGTTTGGCTTGTAGCAACTGGTAAACCTAAACTTTAATTCTCAAAATCTATTTACAATATCCTAGAACAGGTGTTTTCTCAGTTTGCAGGATTAAAACAAAGAATTCTCTTGAGAAGCAAAGGGAAGACCTGAGATCTATATAATCCATTCTACAGGCTGCTGAAAGCCAGATAAATATGTCAGCAGACAAAGGTGTTAAAACATTCTTCCTGCTTATTTAATTTTAGCAGTAGTGCTAAGAAAACAGTGTGTGCAAACAGTGCAGTTGTTAAGAGCTGTACAGTCCCAGCCTTTTCAGGCTAGCATTATGTCCTCAGTACAGCTGTAACTACAGAAGAACTCTACTGCAGCTATAGGGTGTCTTCACATTCTTGAAGTAATAACCTACTGTATGTAAGAGGGGGAGTGACCTGCCATCCTCTGTCATCTGACCAATTGTAGGAAGACAACTGGTAGAGTAATAAAAACCAAGAAGCAGACATCACACCTGGTCTTGGTGGGGCCCCACATTACGAACTTGCAGCACCAAGGCCATCGCTCTGAACTAGAATCAATCTGTCATTCAGCCCATCACCACAACGACACGATCATGAAGATTATCAGTCCCACTGCTCTATAATTCACTTTGATCCAGCAGAATATTTGAGGCAGCCAGGACAACTCTGCCCTGCTCCGTCTCAGCACTTTGTGCATTTTCCTACTTGTGCTTCTTGGCTTCTATGGCTCGGCTCACGTCCCTGGATTCCCCACATCCAGGACTGCACTAGTGTCTTCCTGCCTCAACCTTGGGAATTCTCTCCTGTGTTACAGAATCCTCGCTTGCCCGACGGTGCCTTTGGATTTCCCTCGTGTTTAAAGTTTGTTTCTCCAGCTTGAGCCCCTGCCTGTCCAACAACACGTCCTGGGCTTTCTGGACACAACAGCCTGATCACTGTCTGCTGCCATGTGCTTAGTAGCCTGCTCATCTGTCTGCTTGATTTAGATTCATCACCAGCCTCGACCACTGCAGCCTTTCAGGTCAGTACTGCAGTAATTACAGCAGGGCAGGTAAAACAGACACACAGATACAGCTGTAATATAAATAAACTCCTTTGATTTTTAAGGTGTGAGGGGAAAAAAACAAAGAAAAGGCCTTAACAAAACAAAATCTAGCTCTTCTCCAAGCTCCACCCAGACTTCTTTGAATGTCCCTCTGTATGAACAGCCAGTCCCCTAAGATGCTTACCAGCTTCATAATAAAGACTGTCCAAGACTCTTTTAAAGAAGTTAGTTGCTTCTTTCTCCCTCTGGTGCAGCACATAACCATCTCTGCCAACTCCCCAACTAAGAGAAGTCAATAACCACTGAAGGCCCCTGATTCCTCGTTTTTAAATACCAGCCAGCCAATCATCTTTCTTCTCTTGGTCAGCTGACTTAGGAGAGCAGGGCATTCCCCATTGCCTTCTGGGGAATGTGGTCCGTATAAGAACATCTCCATCTTGTCTCCACCCATCACCATCTTACTACAGCAATGACCTGCAGTAATCTTCCAGGATGACAGCACAGTTTGTCACTGAACAATCTGCCCGTAATAAGAACTGGTATTGCTTTTAACTGGCTTTGATCAATTATTTTACTGGAGAATTCCAACATATAGGGCTGACAGTTTTATCCAAACATACATCTGCTCCCGTTTATACAGCTTTGGCATTTTACCAGTTAACCCTGAATGAACAACCTTCTTTAAAGGTACAACAATAACATCTCAACAGGACACCCTTCAGCTGAAAATTAGGAGTTACAGTAGGTGCGAATGATTAAACTTAAAGTGCTTGGGGGCCTAACCTACATGCCAGGAAAATATAGATTTTCCTTTGGGGTACCTGCTTGAGTTTAACAGCCCAGCAGTCTTCAGCAACTGCTCTCTCCGTGAGGCACCCTCTCTCCGTGAGTAGGTGACTAATATCTACATCGGCTGCAAAGAAAGACGCTTTTCACAACTCCAACACTCTGCTAAGTGAGAACACATGCAGGGGTTTAGGCAAAGCCAGAGAGGGGTCCTCGCTGAATGAAAAACAGGTGCTGCAGGGTTGGGCTGTGTGATTCCCCATTTAGCCTCCGGACCAAAGGTTCCCCAGCAATAGGTGCCTTGTGGCACACAGAGAAGGCTGAAGCTCAAGCCAGGGTTAAACATCTGGAACACTTCTCCCCTACTTGCAACATGTGCTTCAGGTTCAATTAAAATGAGGCCTTGGCACATTTATTAATCTTTTCACTTTCATCCCATGAAAAGGCCTCTTCTGACCCAGCCTTAATATTTTACCATTCGAGCAAACAGCAAAGGTAATGAGAGTTAGAGGTCGCCCCCTGCGAGTGAATGGAGAAGACAGATTTGCTCAGCCTCAGAACTCCATTTGTTGTACGCTTAACCAGGAGTCAAGCGTGCACACACACAAGAAGCTGTGACTGAAAGGGAGTGGGGGGTGGTGGGAGAGAGATAGGAAGAGAAATAAGAAAAATGTAGCCTTTCAAGCTGGCAGCAGCTCAAATGAAACGCTAACAGCTGAACAGTGCAATAGATCAAAATGCATGAAGTCAGAGTTGGTAAATTGTAGTCTTTGTGGGTTTCCTGCTATTTGTAGTGCTCGGGTCCAATGTGTACTAATAATGGATTCCTCTTATGTGGAATAATAATCGCTGGTCTGAATCTAACGACGGGAGTCTAGCTCAGAGTGCAGCTCCCTCATTTGAATTTGAAAGTTGTAATGCATTCATGATAATCTGCATCTTTTCATCTGTCTTTTTGAAAAGGAAAAAAAAACTTCTTCTTTGCAGATATTCCGCTTAGTTTTTTAAAGCGCATAGCCTTTAGCAACAAAACTTTTTTTGAAAAAATGTGTGCCCCCAGTGCACATCGTATCATCAATATAACGTCGGCTGTTTTAACCCTGTGATGCCCTGAGAGTGCTACTATTGTGTTAGAGTTCATGTAAGCTACTACATGGACTATATTGGAAAATGTTGGGATTAACTGACTCGCAAAAATCACAACATCAGCTGTCAGGTGAAGAAAAAACTGAAATCCCATCCACTGCATTAAGGTCTACAATGTGAAAGGCAGCCCGAACCATCTGCAAGGTCTTTCACCCCTGGTTCTCTTTAGAGCACGTCCATTTTAATAGCCCTAGTCATAATGATGATGAAGAAGCAAAAAATCATGGCAATACTTCTGAAAACAAAAATCCTTCCCTATCAAACAATAAGTCAGCAAAAGCTGATCTGTTCAGGATTCTCATTTTGCTCATTAGCGATATTCCCAGTGATCGCCCAGCTTGCTGCCAGCACATGTCAGAGGACAAAGGCTTTTCCAGAGGCTTAACCCTCTGCACTTGGTCTGGAGAACCACCAGTCCTCCTGTTGTCTTGAATCATGCTTTTTTCATGGTTTCTTAGTGTAAGTATATGTAAAATATACTGTATACCCACCAGAAGAATAAATGACACTGATTTAACACTCGTTGTATTCTTTAAACAAACACTTTCTTGTTACTGGCTAGTCATGATTCCAAAACCACTGCTCGACGATTTTAAGGATTTTTCGTTTTGTGTCAGCCCATTTATTTTGCTTAATTATAAGTCAGCTGTTGAGTTCAGTTTCTGAAATGTGTTTGTTTTTTTTACACGAAGTACTAGGATGTATTTCAAATTAAAGAGTGTTGGTAACAGAGCAAATTAGGACAATTAGCAGACATGGCAGAGGATGTGAAAGATGCTGAGAACGATTTAGACAAAATTCAAGACTGGGCACATGCCTGGCAGATAACATTAAATAGACGAGGGTGGAGAATTACATGTAGGTAGCAGACGCCATCTAGAAATACAGAATGGGAAATGCATAAGGTGTTTATGTTGACATCATTTACATCTTCTAGACTCTGCAGGGAAGCAATAAAAAAGCACACAGAATATACTGCCAATATTACTTCAAAAACCAAAAGAAAACCTCTGTCATTTCCCACCTTTACTTCAAAAGATTGAATGACTTTTTTTGCTTTTATTATAAAAACATCTTTTGAGAGTAAAAGTGGCCTGTAAAATGAACTGTAAGACACATGCCTGATCTTAGAATGCAGTGACACCACAGTGGCCTTTGGAAAAGCTATCAAGTTGGGAGATAAGCTAAATTATTAACTGAGGGTCTGGAGGAAAGCAAATAAAGCATCTTAAAGCTGAAAGATCTCTGTCTCTCCTTGCAATGCACACCAGCTGTCGTTTGGAAGACAAACAGCGATGTTTTGTTCTGTTTCTTGTGCGTTTCAGGTGGCGGAGGAGTGTGAGGGAAGATGTTCACTCTTCTTCTGTAAACCACCAGTGAAACAGTGTCATGTCTAAAAATGCCCGTCCCAGAGTGGCAGGATGTCAGCGCAGATAATTACCTTGTCGTCTTTGTCATATTCCTCGTCATCGTCCTCTAGAATGTCCTCCACTGCCTGCTGCTGGAAGTAGAAGGGAGAAAAAGAAGAGAAGAGAGCCGCTGTCAGGATTAAAGTAAGACTGTCTCACTCTGCCCCCCCTCCCCAGGAGGAAAACTCTGAGAAGTTTCGGCAGACTTGGGCGATGACGTCAGATGCCAACAGTGTGCTCCAGTGATCCACAGCTGCCTGAGCAGCGATAATCTCAGCACACTGAACACCCACCACTGAACCCCAGGGAAAAGAACATGGCGGTGAGCACATGGGATGCTTGTCACTGCAAAAATCCTGCTGTAAGAAACACTAGTCCGTATAAAGGTATATAACCTCTAATTACAGGTACGGGATTTGAGATTGTTCCGTCTGTAGATGGATGTGTAAGAGCACCGCCCTGTTAGGACCACATTACCCAGAGGCCTCTGGGGGAACGGCCTGCCACTCTCAGTCACATGACCGGCTGCAGGAAGGCAATTGGTCGGGTCGGGAAGCAGAGGCTTCCTGGTTCAGTTAGGTGGAAGTTTGCTATCTGAAAGGCAGAACTTCTCTGTGCACCATTCACAGGAGGGACAGGGATGGACTTTGGACCAGGGGATTCGGTGTGTTTTAGGAAACTGATATTTTAGTTCTGAACATTTGAAAATTTGAGAAGAGTCTCAGGGCAGACTGCTGTGTTTTATTTGTTTTATTTGGACTTCAAGAAGAAGTTAGTGAGTAGCTCAAAAAAGAACTGAGACTTTGTTCTTGTGTTATTATAAATAATATACTGTATATGCATTATAAATTAAAAGTACTAGTGTTTTTAAACATTACAGCTGGGTGTTTGGTGTGTGTGTTGGCCTGGACCAGATAATGTCACAGCATTCCAATTCAGTGTCACAGATGGGTTTCTGATTTTAAAATAAGTTTCCAAGGGAGACTATAATGTTGCCATGCTGGGACAAATGATGATCCCAATAGTCTTGGTCAGATTTCTGTATCATACAAACATGTGGCAATTGCTCTGGCCACTAGCATACCGTATTCATAGCCTAAAGCTCAGATATAGTTTGTTTAGTTTTGAATCATAGAAAACCTTGCAGCTTCACATAGCATGTTCCTGGACTCTTACACAGACAGTCTGAAGGAACAATCTCTGTACTCTTGGACAGCGAAGACTATTAATACTTTATATATTCAGCATTTTCAAATGCATTGATTCAGGCGACCCAGTGGACCTCTTGAGAATGAACAGTGAAACATGAACCAGAGGGCAAAAGTGGAAACAACATGAAATTGTATTTAAAACTGAGAAAAGGAGGCACTTCTTTACAGGAAGGGTGGTGGGAGTGTGGAACATGCTGCACAGCCATGATGCTAAAGCCAATACTCTGGCTTCTTCCTAGAAAAAGCTGGATGAGATCCTGGGATCAATTAGCTACTAATAACCAAATTGGCTAGTTGGGGTGAATGGCCTCCTCTCAATTGTAGCTACTTTTATTTAACCTTTATCGTGTGAGTTCAAGACTGCCTCCGGCAGATAAGCAGTAGACTGCAAACCTACAACCAGTTTTACTCACTTTAAAAACACTCAGGTTTGTTTGAAAGGCCTGAAGTTAAAAAAATCTCTAGCCTATGTTTTTAAAGATTTGACTACACAAGACTAATTTTGCTCTCAATATAAAAAAATAAGGTGTCCATGCACATCCACCACGCAAAACAGTTTTCTATTTCTGCTCTCCTGGCCTCTGAAGAACCAAGGCTTGTCTGCTGCTGCAGTAATTACAGGTAACACAGGGCATTTACAGTACAGCAGAGGCACCATTGATGTTAAATGAACATGATAAAGATCTGGGGCAGCAGTAGATTTAAATAAATGCAACAAGATGCTGGACTGGCGTGCACGTTCCATCCTACAGCATTAAGGCTGTGGGTTTGACACCAGGCCACACTGTGCAGCAGCAGTGGTCCACAGCCCCCTGGTGACCTAGTGACCCCAAGCCTGGCCGGGGAAGGACCATGCTGACCCCTTAGCTGTGCAAAGCAGGACTGGCGGCCGTGCCCTGTCTGTACCAGGCCAGCGCAGGGTTTCCACTGCAGTACATCCACACCTGTGGGGCCGGAAGGTGCCTGCTTGACAGCGCTGAACACGGAAAGTGTAGATCTTTGCATTTTTTGGTGCTGGGATTTGGACAAGTTTAATTACCAAGGCAGGCGCCCACAGGATGTAACTGCAGGATACATCAAGAAAGATTTTGAAACAGTTGATTCTGCACTAAGCTGCTCCCAGTGTAACCACAGATAGTATGATTAATATTTCTTTGTGATAATGGGGAAACCTCTGGAGAGAAGCATCTTCTTAAGAGCTGAAATGAACTCGCAGTCCCCGTCACCTCTTGTTCAAACTGCACTTGAAAGAAATGTGAGGGAGAGAGAGGAGCTATGCAGCTGTCTCTGCTCTCCTCTGTAAGTTGTGTGATTCTTTCCTCTTAGAGTGTGTTGAGCGCTGTCTGAAGGACCTGCCTTACTCTGCAGTGTACCGTGCTGTTGCTCTGGTTCAGCTACAACCCCAGTAAGATGGCAGTGCAGCAGTGGTCTGGGTTCTTGCTGCAGAAGTGGGGAGTTATGGGTTCAAATCCCAGCTGAGACACACAAATTATTCCAGTGAAATGCATGGTTGTATAATGTGTGTATAAGTGCAAAAGTAAGTTGCTTTGGATAAAAAATGGTAGTTCAGCAAATCAGTTCAGCAATCACAGATGACACAAATACCAACAAACAACTGTATTGGAAATACAAATCTGTAATCTGTGTGAAAGGTGTTATATAAAATAAGGGTTATACTGCACGGTACATATGTACATACAAAAGTTCAGTTCGTGAATTTGTTAGTCTATCCTTAATTTTGTTAAAACTAAAGACAGACCTGAGATTATTTAGCATTCAAAAGTACTGTATGAAGGCAGAAATCAATGATCCTGATCTACAGTATTTGCTTATCATTTTGATCCTGATTTCTCTCTCTCTGTACTGCAGTTGTACACCCTGGTTAAACCTGGACCTGACCAGAGTCCCAGGGAATTATGGGATGTGTAAAAATAATTAATTTTGGATGCTGTCTTGTAGCTCGATCTGTGTGAGGTAATGCCAGAACTGGATGTTAATTAAAAACCTCCCGATTCCTTGTTCGCAAAAATCAAGACGTCATACGGGTGGATGGCTATTAAGATCAGGTGGCCCAAGCAAAAGCTCGTGGGAAAACGGGCAACGTCGGAGCCCAGCTCATCGCTCTGTTTGTGCTGGTGGATGACTGTACAGCACAGATAATGTCTCCCAGTCCCCTCTGCCACACATGGAAGGAGCAGGGTTACGTTCACACAGTCTTGCTGCGAAAAGCCTTATAAAACTGAAGTACTGTATGGGACTACAAATCAGTGGCATTTGTTAAAAGACCTTTGGAGCTTTTCTTCAGCAGAGATTGTGCCTCATATTTAAGTTGTCTCATATACTTAAATAAACACCATAAGGCATGTCTTAATCAACAACACAGATAGGTTCAGCGCTTTAGTTTAAGCCTCATTTCTCCAACACAGCAGTAAAGCCCAGACAATTATGCCAAATTATCCACAGTTAAAGCCTCACAGTGGGCTTCTGTCTACAGAAAGGACAGGAACCCGAGAAAGTAGTCAATAATGTCAAGTACTTATCGCCGTTTTCTCTTCGCTTGACTCTGCCGCGTTGCAGCGCTGATGCGCCGCAGAAAGCAGACAGAAAATAGCGAGAAAGACACAAAGAGGGAGAGATCTCTTTCTGTTCTGCGAGCGCTCGCCCAGGGGGTACGTTATAAAAAAAACAAAACGGCCTTGTTCACAGCAACAACCCGTATCTGTAAAATAAATAATACTCGGAAAAAAGGCACAGGGACTGACGTCCCTGCAGAAGGAATGTCAGCTGTGCTCAGGCAGTTGCCGCGGATAAAAACATGTTGTCTTCCAGCATTAAAGCCCAAACCGGAATAAATTATGTCAAGAGCTGGATTACTGGCTGGTTAAATAAAACCCCGTCCTGATTTGTTTTTTTTACCATGACTGTAATAACCGTCGTGCGAAGTACAGTACATGTCGGTGTGACAGACTTGCTAAGCTTTCGGCTTTAGATCAGTTTGTGCCGCCTTTATTTTAGGAGGAGCAAAATAATTACATATAAAACAGTGGATCTACAGCATTTACAGAGAGAGCACTGTAGTAATGACTACACACTGCACTTACTGTTTGAACACAGTAAAACACGATGAAATCTAAAATGCAAGAGCAAAGGATTCTGTACCGATCTCAACCTTTGAATGCAAACGTATGACTCTACCAACTGGTAGTCATCGATGCAAATCCAGTATGTAATTAATCAAAGAATTTAAATATGATGACAACTATTTTATGAAAAAGTCTTTACCCTGATGCAAACCATCACTTTTTCCAAAACAGATCATTAACCACTGCCCTGGATCCATTTACTGAATGACTTATTCTTGTTCAACAATAATAATCATAACTATTAAACTCAATATTAATATTTCTTGAGTATGATATACACGTAGCTTGACTTTAGCAGGTCAGAGGAAAGCTACACAAAAACAGAAGACCATGCAAACTCCATCACAAATGTTCCCCAGTCGGCAATCCAACAAGTCTTGGATTGTGAGGCAACAGCATTAAGTGACCATCTACTACACCACACTCATGACGCACGTCAAAACACTACCCCGTATGTGTGTCAACTTTAGTATTTGATTTTACATCCATAGTTTTCAAAACACAGTTATCTAGTAATTATAAATGTTGGAAGCTGCAGCTGTATTAGCTCAATGCTTACATTATTTAATCAATCAATTGCACAATGATGACAAATAGATATTATATGCTGTCATGAGGAGACGGGACTTTCAGGCATGTGTATTTTTCTAAACACAGTCTTATAGACAAAAACAAACTGCTGTCCTGCTGTTTGTCAGAGCGGAGCTCCTTTGGAAGACCATATGTACACAGAACACC